GTGCGAAAAGTACTGGTAACTAGTAAACTAAATGTTCCTAATTGGATTTTTCGCTAGTGTAATTATAAGTATGGTTTTTGAAGGCTTTTGTACAAAAAGTCCGAAAGTAGGCTTAGAGAAAATCGGGTGGTAATATGGAACCTTACTGTATATTTTCAAAAAAATGCTTTAATGTAGCCAAAAACAAATAGGAAAGGACAAAAAATGTTAAATAATTACAAAATTATTTACTCTAATGTATTTTATCGCAAAATGCTTTTATAATAGAAAACTATGACGTCCATCAACAATATATATTCCAGCAGCTCTTTTTCGATATTTTCGGACTTTCTACCTAGTGTCTTTTTCTAAAATTGCTCCGGACGAATGTCTGATTGCAAAGAGAGAGTTCGGAGGAGTNTGTTGTCTCTCGAATCGACATTAAGAATCCGTCTGACCACATACGGAACCGCTCGCGCGACGGCGTGACGTAATCGCCGTCTCGGTTTCCGTGTTTCGAGAAACACGGTGGTGTCACTCCTGACAGGGTACCAAAGAGGTGCCGACCCGAAAGGTCACACGAGTTCCTATAACGTAGATTCCTATAACGCGGCGAAAAAAGTGCGACAATATTCGTATAAAGACGCTAAAAGGGACGCGTAAAACGCGGTAAAACGTCATCGCCAACTCGTCATCCCGGACGAGCAGCCGAACTACTTTCCGCCGTCCAGCACCATGCTACAGAGAGTTTAGGCGGGTAAGTTGAGTTTACTATCGTCTGTACAGTATTATATATAAATTAGGTACTATACATATAATTATATATTAACTTAATTTATTTTAACTTTATTATAATTATATATAGAGGAGAAGGTGGTATTATGGAACCCCAATTACATTTTAGTGAATTGTAAACAAGGTATCATAACTACATCCACATTTTTTGTGCGAAAAGTACTGGTAACTAGTAAACTAAATGTTCCTAATTGGATTTTTCGCTAGTGTAATTATAAGTATGGTTTTTGAAGGCTTTTGTACTAAAAGTCCGAAAGTAGGCTTAGAGAAAATCGGGTGGTAATATGGAACCTTACTGTATATTTTCAAAAAAATGCTTTAATGTAGCCAAAAACAAATAGGANATATAAATTTATATTTGTATAAAATAATTAAAAAGCTTGTGTTTTCTCGTATTTATAAGAATTACTTCTATCTTAATCGTGGTAAAACTCGAATTGACTCATCACAACAATTATCGTATAAAATTCAACGCAGAATTCTATTGGATTAAAAATATGTAAAATTTTAAATCTATATATACAGTAGACCCCTATAACGTGGGTTCCTATAACGAAAATTATTATAACGTAACGAAAAAATTGTGGCAGTATTCGTATAAAGGGACTCGTAAAACGTCGTCGCCGACTCGTGTCGCGATAAGATTGGTCGAATCTGGATCAATAGTGGATGAGCAGCCGAACAACTTTCTGCTGTTCAGCGCCACGCTACGGACAGTTTAGGCGAGTAAATTGAGTTTGCTATCGTCTGTACAGTATTATATATAAATTAGGTACTGTATATATAATTATATGTTAACTTAATTTATTGTAACTTTATTATAATTATATATATACTTTCCGCCGTCCAGCGCCATGCTACAGAGAGTTTAGGCGAGTAAGTTGTTTACTATCGTCTGTACAGTATGTAAATTAGGTACCGTAAGTCTAATACAGTACTCTAATTTTATACATTTCTTGTAAAAGAAACATTTCTTATTCAACAGCCATAAAAATTATTTATATTAATGATGTCTCCAAAGTTCAACGAAGTTTTCGCAGAGAAATAACTTATCAAAAATTGCGGCCGCCGTTTGGTGCGCTGCTCCGCGACGAAAACAAGCTTAAGCAATGACGACGACGAACGGTGCACACTCGGTAAGTAATCCTACAACTTTTTCTTTATAGCATAGTTTATACGGATTATTCCCAAAAAATTATGTGTTTTGGAAATGTTGAGTCAAATTAGTCTAGAATTGATTAATTTTATGGAAGAAAACCTTTCAAACAGCCGTAGTCCGTAAACTTCACATGTGTCGGGCTGTGATTGGCTCATGTATTTAAGGATGGAACGTATCTACGCGTTATAGGGGGTCTACAGTATAGAATTTACTACTGGAAACATTAGTTGTTAAATCTTAGGAGCCATCGCAAACTAGAGTTTTGCAAGAGCAAAACGCTAGCAAACGTGCGCTAGCACATCCGATAACGTCAATGTCTCCGCCTCTGTCTTCATGACCTCGCGTTTTTTCTTGTGCTAGCGAAGCGATTTCAACAGATAGAGCAGTCACACTACCAAGAGAGAGCGGGGAAAATGGACGAATGCATGGACATGTTGTCAAGCGTTGAAAAAGAAATAATAGAATTTTATCGATGTAAGTAAATTACAGGATTAAAATACATTTAGTATTGAAAAGAAAATAGTGTAACCGTTATACATAAATATTTTCGGCTAGTTAAGCCTAATTAGTTAAGCTTTCAGTAGGCATGTTTTTCCCTGCTGTTTCCAAATTTGAAATAAAAACTGACTAATTACAAGTATAGGTTATAATAAAATCTTTGTTCTATAGTCAAGCCACATCTGTGAAATCCAAGTCATGTGGAACAATGCATAAAGCACAAGAGGGATTTCACACAAACACAATTAAGAGAGCTTTTAGCTTCTGAACACGAAATCAACATTAATTGTAATTAATCCAGAACATTAATTTAATAACTGGTCAGTTAACTAATCTCTTATGATGCCATCCCTTTTATGCGAGCAAACGTTGTACAGTTTGCAACTGCTTTCTGCACACGTAGCTTACCTACAAAAAATGGCTCATAGCCTCATGAGAAAAAAGGCTGGGCTTTGTAGCGTGACCGAGCGTACGCTAGCTCCAGCTTCCTGTAGTTTGCAACAGCTCTAAAGAACACATTCCCCTTGATCATTTTGTCATATGACCCAGTTCTAATCAATAAGGCAGTTAATATAATCTGAGTAAAAAAATAATTTTCAGTTCCTTCATTTTCACAATGGGAATAGGCTCGGTCTATTTCTTTTGGTGGGGATAATAAAGAAAGATTTTACTACTCTGATTTAAAAAGACAACAGGGTCCAGTGAGATTTAAGACAAGTATATAATATACAGTAAGGTGAAATTTAATATGTTTTTAATTTTTGCATTTATGGATTATATAATCAGAAAGATGTACTGTACAACTCATTTTTTCAAACGACGAGTAAGTAAATACTTAATTGAACAACAAAATGAAAATTGCAGATTATTAGGATAGTCTAAAAATATACTCACTGCCAAAAGTTAAGCAAAATGTTCTTGTTTGGAAAAAACTGCATTTGAAAGGCTGCAATTAACTGCAGAGGTAGGTGGAAGTATGCAAATATGTTACGTTACTATCACTCATGGTTACGTGTCGCGAAATATGTAAAACACGCAGTCGTATAAGAAGCCAGCCTTTTGAAGTGTGAGAGGAGTTGCATGTAAGTGCCGAGAAAAAGTGTGGAGAACTGTCGTACAATTAGTGTGATGGACTGACGTGTTTCTATGACTTCCAGAAGACGAATGACAGACAGTGAGCGCTGGCGGTGTGTGGGATGTTTTGAAGCAGGACAATCAACCAGAGATGTTTCTCTTTTCTTCGGCGTTCATCATTCTGTCATTTCACGGTTATGGAAACAATTCCAAACAGTTGTCCGAAGACCTGTGGCCGGTCGCCCAAGAGTTACCATCCCTGCAAAAGGTCGCTATATCGCTGTTGTAGCCGAGAAAAATCGAAGAGCAACCTCTACACATGTGACATCGATGGTTGCAGCAGCCAATGGTAAAACGATATCTGCTACTATGTACCGAAGGCTACACATGAACGGACTGTATGCCCGGGAACCACGAGTTTGTGTTCCACTATCCGTCCAATCCATAGGCAGACGATTAAAGTGGTGTTGACAACATGCGGATTGGACTGTGTCTGATTGGGGCAACGTTATGTTCATGGATGATTCGCCATTTTCCCTAGAGCCAGATGACAAACGTGTAAGAGTAGGAGAAAAAAAGGCACATGCAATCGACCCCAGAACATCATCGAGAATCACGCATTCCGAGGTGGAAGCATTATGGTACGGGCAGACATTTTGTTGGGATATCGCACCGAACTCCACATCTATCGAAGAGGTTCTATGATGGCTGTCCGGTATCGGGATGAAGTCCTCGAACCCACTGTGAAATTGTATGCTGCAGCAGTTGGTCTTGCTTTCGATTTAATGGATTATAACGCACGACCCCATAGAGCTGCCTCGTCGACGAATATCTCGAAAGTGAGGGAATCGCGCGTATAGATTGGTCGGCCTATTCGCCAGACCTCAATCCAATTGAGAATCTTTGGGATTGCTTGGCCATGCTGTGTGTGCACGTTTCCCACCCCCTGCCACTCTCAGAGTTGAAACTGCTATACAGGAGGAATGGCACTTATTTTACTCTGGAGTGATTGATCACCTCATGGGAAGCATGATTACACGCTGTAAACTTTGTGTAAAGATAAGGGGTGACCATTTACCCTATTAATGTCGATTTTGTTTGTTTGTTTTGGATTTAAACATCGTTTTGTTAATGATTCCAATGTCATTTCATTTTATACTTTATGAATATTGCTTTCATTTTTCTATGTAATTCTTTGTGTTGTTTCACGCATAAACATATTTGCTACTGTCCTGCCGCATTTCGTGTCAATAACAGCTGTATTTGTCGATTTTTTCGCAGTTTATCGCCCTGTGCTGAACCTTTTGCAGTGAGTGTAAAAAGTTAAAACTTATTAGATTCGTGAAAACTGGATTTCAAATGTTTAACCAAGGTTATTTTGATTATTTTGAAATCATTACAATAATTGAGGCCTTTCCAATCTAGAAGGTGTGTCTTTCTTACAGGGTAAAAAACAATGGCATATTGTTAGCATTAACATAAGAAGGTTATACCTGGTGTAAACTTTTTTTTGGAAAGTAATAAAATTTTTACTAAAAAATGTAACAAGCTCTTCTCTAATTACAAACAATCTTCATGTCGATTGGTAGAGCTTAACATAACTCATAACGGGTTCAAATTTGCTAAGTTTACTTTTTCCAATTTCAGATCAAGTAAATTTTACGATAAGCAGAAAAATAAACTTTTTTTAATACATAAATATTTTGTACAGCTCGAGCGAAAGTTAACTGCAAAAATTAAATATAGTCATAGACTTCTATGTGATGATAAGAATTTCCCCTTATGAGAGTAAATTAGTAAGACTGTGAGACACATCATAAATAATTTTTCTGCATAAGTCACACTTCTATCAGAGAGTGACGTATGTAGGAATAGATACATTCATATGCGATTTAGAAAGTTTCAATAAGGATAATTGATATGTTGTGAATAATTCAAGAAAACTATTTACATGAAACATATTAACATGAGATATCGAAGTCTGATAACAAAGCCCCGCATAGCGGCAGAAGAAAGAGACATGCCTGGGGGAAATTTTCACCAAAATGTAGTGCTTTAGGCTTAAATACAATTTTCATTATATACATATTTATACATTGAACTCTAATACCTAATAATTTTACAGATTTAATTTTAGTCTGTAAAATTAAAATCTGTAATTTTAGATCCAATCTTCTGGTGGTATTTCTAGTTTATCGAAAATCTCTTCTTCCATTTCTCCTTTATACACAAATATATCGCCAAATAACTTATATAAATTTTCAATATAATTAAAAATTTCTTCGTTTCTTATTTAGAGATTTTTGATTTCCAGAACGTTTCAATTTAAAAACACGAACCTTACTTGTACACTCATAAAACTATACAATATTCCTAACGATCTGACTTATAATTTGGATCGATAACCAGAATTGTTTCTCAAATTAAGAAAATTTAAATTACTTCAACACATTTCTTTAATAATCATTTTGTTAAGAAAAATAAATCCTTAAACTTTGATAAGCAATGTGACGACCTTTATTTTATTTATTCAAAATTCTAGCTAACAATGAAACAACTACATTTTTATACTTTATTTTCAATAAATTCGTAATAAAAGTTTTCATTTAAATCAACATCACGCCGATCAATTTTATCTTTATGTTTTATGATAAAATCGAAAATAATTGTAGATATTTTACAACCACTTTTCAATGCAATACATATAATATACTTAACTCTTCAAATAATTGTCCCGATATGGTTTCATGTCTTAGAACTGAAGTAAAATTTAATTTTAGAGCATTTGTACTAAGAAAGTTTATGTCTAATTTCATATCGAGATATATCATCTCACTCAGCATAAAATTGCAAAGCATGTAATAAATTTCAAATTAACAAATTCAAAATCAAGATATTTACCTTCCCTGATCCAACAGGACCTATAACAGTTAATAATTCTCCAGGCATCACGTTTAAAGATATATTATTCAGTGTTGGTTCAGTTCCCTTTAAAAAGACAAAATTACTTAATTACATAATGGCAGATAAAGTAATATTTTCATTTATTAATCAGTACAAAGAATATAATAAAATTAATTTTTATAAAGTAAATATCATATTATTCTTAATAAAGTTGATAAATCGCTGTAGAATATAAACTTGCTAGTGTGTAATGTTTTTTAAATGAGTTAATACGCGTTTGTCAGAATTATGTGCACAGCAGATTGCAAATTATCTGTCAACCATGAAAATATAGTTGATAATCCGGAATTGTCTGATAACAATCCAGGGTACTAAATGTTGCGTTATACGAGTAACACCAAAAGCAATTTGAGAATTTCGAGAGGTAGCATTTCATTCAGTGAGATCTTTGCATAAACCCGTGCATGGCACGTAACATTTGCAACACATTCATTTTGCTTATCACATAAATTCACATACAGCAAGCAGGATTTTAAAATTGCTATTGTAAAATAGAATATTTTTGACAGGCACCACGATAAAAAATTAAACTTCTGTAAAGTCTCCACATTCATAAAAGACGGATATTTGCAGAGCAATTAATCACCAAAGAATAATTGTACTAATATATGCACGACGAACAATGAACATTTCTGTTTGTTCCAACATCCTCGTAATTAGTAAATCGTTTTTAATCAAATGAAAGAAATTGGAAAAATGCAGTTTACAAAGAATAGTGTAAGTTTTCCAATTGTTGAAGAGAAGTATGGAACAGGTTCTGTATCTGCCATATTTGACTTCTTGTCACATCACTTGAAATTATGTGATTGGATATATTGGTACATGGCTAAATGACATGTGGATCTTCTGCCAAGCAGATGCCTCCTGGAAGGTATTTTATGGGAATGTGGCCCAATTAATATGTGACTAACATAAAGAATATCTGAAGTTACGTTAAAAACGCTCCAGGAACGCTCTACCTCAAACATATATGTAGAGATGAAGTAAGGGATGCTATATAATATATAGTAAGACCATGGTTCTTAATCCATGGTCCGCAAAACACGAGTGTTCCGTGAAGTCACTTTAAGTGTTCTGTGAAAAAATCAAATATACAATTAAAAATTGTTGCAAAGAAAAATTCAATAGAATGTATAATAAATTTTGCATGGGAATGTAAATTGCAAATGCCAATAATGTCATATACTAGCCTAGTGCGATCTTGATTTCAAAAAAGTTTGCCACCTCTGCTTTAGATTTGATGTAAGTGTTCTTCAGAAAAAAATATGTTAAAGTTTAATGTTTCTGAGTTCAAAAGCATTGATAACCACGGTAGTAAAGTATGCTTATATAAAGAGGGTGTAACAAAGTACACCTGATCTTAGTGAATATTGAATATTCTTGTTTTATCCAACACAGTTTTCAATAATAGCAGTAACAATATGTTATAGGACATGTTGTTAAGCTTAATAAAAAGATACATCACTAGGAATAGTCTGATATAGGACGATACCTTTTATACATCTGTTGTTCTTACATACATACAGATATGTATGTAATGTCAAACTTAAAATTTGACTGAAGTGCATTATTTTTTTACAAAAATAACCATGATTTGCAAAGCTATTTTCTTATAAATTTCTCAACGTGTTTATAAAAATTTAATGGAAATTGAAAGGTATATTAAGTTAAAATGAGAAACTTTATGGAATTCACATTTTATACAAATAAGCATTTAAATGTGTGCACTTTAATTTCTGCAATTTCTTCATTGATAAAAATGATAGTTATTGTTTATGTGAGAATCTGGAGTTAGGAGATCTTTTTCTACCGAAATTGTAAAATATTGTTTGAAGTTTATTTAAAAGAAAAATCATCTATCTTTGTAAAAGGAAGTATATCCTTTGACTATAGGAGAAAAACAAATTAATTTCCCTTAAAAGGATAACACGAGTCAGATGTCTTTCTCGGATATCCACGGCACCATCCAACTTTTGATATTACTTGCTTGCTCTTTCTAGTCAGATTAGATTAAGATGTTACATTCAAAATTCTCAAATAATAATAAAAAAACATTTGTATTTTAATAGAAATATTACTTGCTTGCTCTCATTATCGCAGAAGCATGTCGTGATAATCCAATGATTCTACTGGATGAGATTTATTATAGAGAGTAAATGGTCACCTTTCTTGACTGGCTCTTGTTCTCGTTCTCATTTGAGCCCTTACTTAGTATTAAAATATTCAGCTATAAATAATCAGAATATGATCCTCTTTTGGCGTTCTTTCCGAGTGCCCGAGACATTAATCATTCTCTTCCCAGTTCTCAATTTCCAGTTGATTCCAAGGATTAATCAACTATTCTCTATAAAGTATGTGAACGACAAGTATATAATTGTATTATGTGAACTCTCTCTACTCAGATTATATTAAGATGTTACATTCAAAGTCCTCAAATAAAAAAATCATTTGTATTTTAATAGCAAGATTACTTGCTTGCTCTCATTATGTTTAAGAAACGCTTTTATGTATAGATTTCACTTATAGTTTGTATATTAAACATCAGCCGTTGATTTTAAAAGTGAAGCAAATCCATTTTGTGAAAAAAAAAATAGCTAAAGTAAATTCTTATTACAAATTGACATAATTTATATTTTATTCAATTCACAATAAATATCTTATAATATCAGTAAAAATTGGTTACTAGTAATTTATTTTGTCAACAATATTTATTGTGGATTAATTTTTAATGTGAGTCAAGACCACTCTAAATAAGGACAGCATTGAAACATGACTCTCTGTCACTGTATATTCCCCAGGATTATTGCAAATTAATACAAAAATGTCGCAAACATACAGTACTGCATTTTTGGTACATAAAAAGCGAGGATTTCTATTCAACGAAGGCTCTGTATGAGGCAATTTTGAAAGGAAGAAAAAATACTGATAGAGAAAGAGTCAATTGGCTAAATATTTTCCGGATAAAATTTTCAAAAAATGCGTCGTGTAAATTGTTTCATAAAACATCGATAGAAAAATATTTGCAATTTATAACTCTTGACTTATTACCAAAACGGGGTAGGCCAAACAGTTTCGGAAAAATAGTATTATTGTCTTTAAATGCGAAAATTAGGCTTATTACTAAATTCAATTATAAAGATACTAGCAGATAAGCCCGGCGTTGCTCGGGTAAAAAGTAACGATATTGAAGATTAAGTCTATTACATTACAGCCAATCTTACCCTTTTCACAGAATGCAATAATTACGTCCCTCTGTTTCCAGAGTAATTAGAAAATTTTTAGATGGAACTAAAAATATGTTCGATTTCCCAGAAAAACGCAAAACACTGCGTCTGCGCCTGTGAATCTTGCACGTTGCTTTCTATTATCACTTCCATTGTTACTGAACACTTCCAGTGTTGAAGCGTTAATCGTGTCCCTCTCCCCCATGGGGGGTGAATTTCGAAAAATCCTTTCTTAGTGTGCGTTGTAGTGATGTACCCTAACTGTGTATCAAATTTCAACTTTAAACTCCTAACCATTTGGGCGTTGCGCTTATTATTATAATTATCAATCCGTCTCAATTATATATATAGATTAGTTGAAACTGAGGTTCGAACTTACGAAGGTTCTTGCTTCATATACCCCCACCAATGGGTAGTCCCACCCATACAAAAAAAAGGCTTCGAATGGTCCACAATGTTCCAGAACATTCCACAACATTCGAGAGTGTTCTGGACTGTTCCACAATGTCCTGGAATGTTCCGGGATGTTTCCGAACGTTCCAAAACATCCCGGAACATACCGGAATGTTGTGGAATGCTCTCGAATACTTTCGAATGTTCTGGACTGTTCTAGAAATTTCTAGAGGGCGAAACTTCAGCCCTTATATCTTCAACAGCACACCCTTCAGGTAAAAACGAAAGCCTTGTTCGTGGATGGGGAATAGAGGGCTACCACATCATATAACTTCCTTGATCGTACCGGGACTCGTTTTTGAGTTTTAGTGGCACGCCCATTCTACACTAACCTTTATAATATACTAGCAGATGCCGCTACACGTTGTTGTGGCTCAAAATATATCTATTATAAATGTATAACACTTCTCCCGTGGGGGGGGAATTTTTCGAAAAATCCCTTCTTAGTGTACATTTTCTTGACGTAGCCTATTAAAACGCAATCAAAAACGCAAAAAATTGCATCTAAAATAGTATAATAGAAGCCAAGTTCTTTACGGTAAGCCTTAATCCTGTCCCTCTCCCCTCAGTGGGAGGAATTTCGACACGTATATTATATAAAAACACGTGCGAATTCGAATGCAGTGTTGTGTCAAAATTTCAAAGGAGTCAGTAGGAACAAACGAACAATTACATTTTTATTTATATAGATAGATAGAAGATGATTTGTGATTAATGAGATCATAATGCCTCACAGAAAAGCAAACTTAGGTCGTCGTACTCATAGTGCCATCTGTTGGATAGAAAAGCCTTAACCCTAGATGATATTTTTTAATTTATATGAATGTTTAACAGAATAACATACAGCCTGTGTCGACCCTGAAGTTCTATTCTAAATATTGGTGAAAGAAGATTTGAAATCGGATGAGTAGTTTCGGAGATTACGGGCTACATACAAACTTACTTACTTACTTACTTACTTACCTACCTACTTACTTACTTACAAACATTACCTCTTTATAATATTAGTATAGATATTGATATTGATGATTATGGATTTACTATTCTATGTTCCACTGATTCATCATGAATACTTTAAAAATCTACACCATATAAACTAAAAAATATAATTATATGCATGCAACTTGTTACTGGATATTTTTTCTTATTTTAACCACTTTTTTCTATAAAATTAAATAATTTTTTTTTTATTGTAGATTTTTGAAAGAAGTATGAAATGTTGAAATAAAATAAATAAGCAAATAAATAAAATATTCAAATTTTGTTATTATAATTATATTTCACTCAAAATCAACGTGTCGCAGCGGGCCGGAAAAGGTCACATGACCCATTCTGACCCACACTCCCTATTTTATGATTTGCTGAATCGTTAACAATTATGCTTTTTTGATGTGACTCACAGTAGCGGCTATTATTCTTTGATATTATCGTAACGTATAACCATTTTTCACTTTCGCAGAATGTGTTACAAAAAAATGGTTCTTTGGGGTCATGGTGACCCACAGCGACCCTTGACGTTTCTTGTAATTTGATGTTTATGTAATGTAAATATAATTTTTTTTAATCGTGAAGTGACATACCTATTATATAATAAAAATGATTTGTTATCATTATTAATTTTTCAAATTTTTTAAATAAAATTTTGAAGAAAGTTTTAAGTATCTGAAAAATTGTAACATTCTAACAATTCTAAATTCAAATGTTAATAAATAATTAACTAAGTATTAAAAAGTAAACAAATATGTTTATTAAATTACAAAACAGAATGAGAAATAATATTTAAAAGAAAAAAGTGCAAAAAGTTAAATAGTTAAAATAAAATTTATTACTTAAAATGCGGGTCGAGGTGACCCGCAGCGATCTTTATAACAAATCATTGCTTTTGAAAGTGAGACAAGTCCATTGGCGCATACTAAAACCATGATTTTTTCACCTAACATAGATAACCATTACTGCATATTAAATTTACATGAAATAAGACAACAAGAAATATAAAATAAGTCTATTACTGCTTACGAATATTTTTAAATTCATTCAAATATATAGCGATAACATAAAACAAACTTGGCCCATTTTCAAAATCAATGGCTCGTATATAGTTATATTCTAAACTTTCAGATTGATTTAACGCCTAACTCTATCTTTGAACCACGAGTTTCATGAAACTCACGTTATAACTAACATTCTAATATAATACCCTTTTAAAGTTCCAGTCTAAAATAAATAATGCTTTTAGCCAAACGAAAAAGAAATAGGTATTCGTAACTTACGACACAGAAAAGTTTTATCCTAAATGGCGTCAGGACTCGGTGATATTCAGAGAATGTTGATAGGTATTTGTGTACTTATCAATTGTCAACGATATTTTAATGGCCATCCTCAATGAGACAAAGTTAAACCGGAACACTCCCCATTTCACACTTACTTTCATAACATTCGAAACGTACGCGATGACCACTGAGAACAGAATGCATTATCAAATATGTTTTGATTGATCATAATAAAATATAAAGTAATTCATAAAACTAGAAAATTTCTAATTTTCTTCTTTTCTATTATCAACTCTCTTTTGTGATTATCAGCATTCAACAACTAATAAACGACAAAAGTAACATTTCTAATTTTATATAAGAGAGTGCTAACTGAAGCGCTAAAAACATTTCTACTTCTTAAATTCCAAACTGGAGTTACTTTGTTGTATAAGTGCAATTAATACACTATAACAGCTTTAACTGTTATTATTAATGATATTTTTTGTATGACTTCGTTATCACAAGCACATTGAAAACAACCAACAGTTTGGTATTTCATATTAAATTCTGTACAGCCCATATAGAAACAATGCTACAATAATAAGGTATTGAAAAGAGAAGAAGGAAGCCCTCAATATTGAAAATGACGTGTATGAAACTAAGTAATGATTATTGTATTTATATAGCGATGCTCTGTATTTCCTTTAAAGACAGATACCAAATGAGAGGAATTTTAATGAAAAATGGCTTTCCTATTTAAATCGAGTAAAAACATTTTACACGTGGTTAGCATGAATAGTGATATATATCGTTGGTATTCATGGTTAACGATATTCAGTTTTGGATTTAGTTTGTTACTTAGGATAAACTCCAAAGTGCCACTGTTTTGAGAGCGTCATTGATACAAGAACCTAACTAACGCCATTAACACGTGAAATGACATATCAATCGATTTACGAGAAAAAAGATAAAATCTTTGCTTCCAGTCTGTTATCGACAAACTATTCTGTTTAATCAGTAATAACAACTATAAAAAAGGGCTGATGATCGTTTCGTAAATATTACAATAGTTCTTATATTCCATTTGTTTATTAAAATATGTAGCCATGTTTTCCATGTATTACAAACGTTTGTCAATTACACAAATATTTTTTTATTTTAAACAATGTTTATTTTATTTTTGCAATACTAGGCTTGTTTTTCAATTTTTTCATGTTTTGGAAACCTGTCTGATAATTTTGGAACTTTTCTGTAATTCAGTATCATGCCTTAATTTAAAATTACTTCTTTATTTTCGAAATCATTTTTTTCATTTTCTGCAATATTTTGCTTAAATAAAGAAACAAAATGTAATTAAAACTAAACGTGTTTACCTTTTTCCATGCAGCTGTGACATTGTTCATCCATATTCCACATTTCGTTAAATTTGCCTTTTCTTCTATAATTTCGAATGCATTGTTGCCTTTCTCTTCAAGAAGAAGGAAATCCTAGATTAAAAGTATAAAAACAACATTAATGTTGTTAATGATAGTTTGTACACGACTGTAGGATGGACAAGGCAGTTAAGGTAGTCGGCTAATATTCTCAGAAACACAAATCTATGTCCATGCAATGGAGAAATCCAAAATTACTTTAATTTAAAATAAGAATTTGACATAAAAATATCCAATCTTAACTTTAACCACCCAGTGATGTAATCGTGAGAGTGGTCAAACCTGCGATGAATTTAAAAAAACAAGACTTCTTACTGACCTGGAAAAAGCTACAATAAAAATAATGACGTTATGTAAACATCATAATTTATAATTTTTTTAAATATTCACAATATAATATTATAATATTTTCGTTATAATGAATATATGCTTCTTACTTTGTTACAGCTTCTTAGTGACCAATAAGCATAGTTGGATGGAAAAAAATATTTCTTTACCTCCAAATCATATATAAATCTGATTTTTCACAGAAAATAATTACTTGATAAATTAAAAACTGTGAAACCAGAATCGGAAAGTATTGAACATACAATTCCATTTTAGTACTTGTATATTTTCAGACCATATCAAATAAATGCAAAATCGTTATGAACCTTCTTACCGTAAAACATCTTATATTACATGTATTAAGGCTGTTATACACGGTAAGGAAATCCTTTGAGGATTAACCGTGATTTTTTTTTCTATCTATCCATTTTTAAATAAAAATAATTCTTTATACGTTGGGAGATATTTTAATAAGTTTTATAAATTACTATGTTCGATCCAGCCAGTTATATCCGAGTTTTTTTCGTCTGTTAAGCACATCCTTTGAGGATTTCCTTACCGTGTATACCAGCCTTTAGAAACATTTAAATTGTAGTTTTCGCAACATTAAGTTTTTTCTATAATTTTAGTTCTGTAAATCAATGCTTTACTCCAAAAAATTAAATAATTTGCTGAATTTAAATAAAATTTAACCAAACTTAATACTACACTTCATCGAGAAAGAAATACTCTACTCTAATTAATATATGACGTTTTCGGTTTGTAAGCCAAATTAATAATAATTTGGAACTAATTTACTACTCATGTGATTAAAAACCTGTATGAATGGTTCAATAAAACATAAGATTTAAATTTATTCATCAAAATTTACTTTTCACTTCCATGTAATCTCTTCCCTACACCAACACGCTGCTTCCAACGTTTTTTTCAATCTTCAATACATGCTTTAAAATCGTTTTTGTGAAACTCCTTCAGAACTCGCAGTGAATTCTGTTTTATAGCATCAATCGACTGAAAACGGTGTCCATAAAACAGGAAATTCTCACAGTGTGGCATATGATTTTATCGCACACTTGCGAAACTGTATGTGTTGAATATTGGTGCAATATTCACGAACAATAGGAGCATTGTAAACAGGTTTCTAATTTTGGTGAAAATCTAGCAAGTTTTAGCGCGAATCGGGTCGTTTGTTTGAACGAATTTCTTCGTTTAAACAATGCAGAACGCTCAAATAATATGACTTGTTAACAGTTTGTCTAGAAATGAGGCATTCTGAAGACACAAATAGAAAATGAAGACAATAACATAAATCTTATATTTGTATAATCAATTATTAGTTTCAATCACCATTCAATCTTAATTTAATACACCTAAGTACTCGATGAAGAGTAAATTCTCTCCCTCTCCCTCTTCCCGCCCGTGGAGAAATTTCGTAAAATCCCTTCTTAGTGTGCATTGCTATGGAATACCCTACTAAAACGCAGATATAAACAAAAAATCGCATTTAAAATAGTACAGTAGAAGCCATTCTTCCGGTTAAGTTTTAATCCTCTCCCTCTCCCCCCGCGGGAGAATTTCGAAAAATCCCTTCTTACTGTGCATTGCCATGGCATACCCTAACTGTCCACCAAATTTCACCTCTTTAGATTAAGGGTTCTGCTCTGGGCAATGATGAATCAGTAAGTGAGTCAGTCATTCAGTCAGTCAGGACAAGCAATTTTATATACAGTAGAGAGTCGATTATCCGAATCAATTAAGGACTGGTGTTGTTCGGGAAAAAAAATCGATATTTAGGATAACCGATTATAGACGAAAAAAATCTATTGACCTAGCCCATGTTGAAATTTTTTTCTGTCGCGTGTCGCTTCGCCTTTCGAATTTTCGTCGATGTTAAGCCTAACGTAAACTTTTTAAAATAATAATCGTGACTATTGTATCGTTGAAAATAATTTGTTTATTTTGTACAAACAAAATAAATATATTGAAAAATATAAAAACAATAAAAAAATTATACTTTAGAAGTTAATTTAGTATCAAAAACGTAAAATATTTGAGTAGCCCAAGACATAGCCAAAGATTGCATAGCCACAGCACTGGCGAAAATTTAAATTTACCGACTGGAATTCTTTCGGATAATTTACTTTTTGGATAACTTACGTTTCGGATAATCTACGCTCTACTGTATTTATAAAATCTATTTTAATCAGACTTCTGCAAAAATTTAGTACACCTGTTATAAATTAATACAACTATTAAGAAACTTTTTAAACAAGAATTTTGACCTCACTTATTCTCTTTTGTATGCCACTAATTATATTATTTACTACTATTAAACACGGTTTCCAAAAATTGATAAAAATCTCGACAATTTTTGAACATCTAATATATTCAATTCTATCTTAAGGTAATTCCAGCAAAAACTAACAAAAGACAGATTCTAATTCCTGGAAACTTTTCAACTCGTTTTTAGTTTTTAATGATATGTGATGACCATCCTAGGAGAGAGCGATAGTGTCTGCAACTGGAATCTCAATTTGCGTTATTAAGGATAAAACGTTTTTCACGTTTAAATGCCGTCTCTGTTTTTATTTAAATTGAGTTCGTATATAGAAACGTGATGCTTGTCAAATTTACTGATAGGGGTGTCCTACTTGGAGGATTTTTTATGAAAAACTAGCCCTTATTGCACTGTTACAATAATGAATAAAATCCAGAAAGCTTCATGTGGACAGACTTTGATGAAGAGTAAACTCAAAATCAACTACCAATCTTCAGTTATAAAATCACTGAATACTGGTAGTTTCAGTTTTTGCTATTCAACATAATTTCAATTTACTATAAAATTCATTATAAAAAATTCTTCACTTCTGTATATTAGTCCCATTTACGCAGCTTTCTTTTTATTTATATTTCAATTTTTCGGCACGTTTTATTATTATTCAAAGTTGTAATAAAAATTATCATTTTCAAATTAGATATTAACATACTTAAATACTTTTAAATTAATATTCTAGTAATAAAACATCAAAATATAACTCTTATATTAATAATTTTCGCAAACTATCGTTCATTTCTTTAGTGTTTAAAACAGTTTATTACCTGAATTCGCTTCAATGAAACCAAAATTTCTGCAACTAAATTCATTGCTTGAGAAAATAAATTAAAAGTGCTGGTAAATATAAACACTGAAAAACTCATAGTGACAAACACAATTTCAGCATTTAATTGTCCTCCATTCAAAAAGAATGCAAGAAATGTCAGTGAAATAAATAATTTCGATACAGGATATGCAAGTATTACTGATATTCCTCTTGTATACAAAAACAATTCAACTTTTTTCATTTCTTTTCTGCAAAGATAAAAATAGTTCATTAATACAAACTGTAGAGATTCAATGTATTTGTTCAATGAAAAACAAATTAGTTTTAGAATACAGAGTAAAACCAGTGTAAACTGGCCAGTCAAATTTTGAATATATTTTGTGTTAATTTCGCAGGTTTAAGTTTCGAACATGTTTTTATGAATACATAGAAATATGGTTGTCTGAAAATCTTATTGCTTACAGGTTTTTGTTTTATAAAGTTTTATCAGTTTACACAGGTGTTTACTTTATTTCATTGCACTTACATTCTGATTTTTTCTATTAATTTGGTATATGCCAATTCCCAAGTGTACATTTTAATTAATCTCATAGCAGTAATCATCTCATTTAATAAGTTCAATCTTTTGTCTCCCAAACTAGCAGCTTCTGATCTACAAATATTATATTACAATTTAAATATAAGCATATAATTATATAAAAACATGAAATTAAACAATACACATATAACTAACATTGAAAGATAATTCTACATAAATTTATTTTCTAAGCACTAAATATTACGCTTTTTCTTTAATTTATTCGCATAACGTTTATACATCGTTTTGCATGTTAGAAATTCACATATTTCCATAATCTGTGTTTCTACTTTTTACTCTGTCAAGACGTATGTTTTAAATATTTTACACTCATTACGCAATTATGAAAAATACAACTATTGAATTCATTCCTGGAACACAGAAGTATGAAAATTTATGCTTGCTTGCATAAGTGCAATTTCTGGTTTTCCAGATTGCAGGCTAATAATTTATGTTTTTCTTCCATTAACTTTTCTAATGTCAAAGAATAAAGCAGAGAGCTCAATTAAGTGAGATTTTATAATTTTTAAAACATGAGAATTTTATCCTCATTAATGATCATTATTTCTCTTAGCTTCGGAGAGTTCTATTTTCTATGGTCATAGAAACTATAATTGTTCTTAATTCCCAGGCTACAAGATAAAGTTGTATAAAGAAAACCAATTAGAAAACATTATTTTCATTAGATTTCCTCTCAAACAGTTAAGCCAATTTTGAATGATTGCATGTTTAAAAAAGAAAAAAAAACTGATTTCTTTAT